CTGTCTGAATATCTGTCTTTCAAATAAAATAAAAACTGAGAAAACAATTTAAAGGGATGTCAGACAAGACTTAAAGAATACATTTTTGTTTGAAATGATGAAAACGGTTTGGAACTAGACAGAGGTCGTGTTGGTACAACAATGTGAACGTATTAAATGCCACTGAATTGTTTGTTTTAAAAGGGTTAGTTTTAGGTATAAAATTTACTTTAATAAAAGTGCATCAGGAAATATTTTTGATGCTTATATTTTAGTCAATGTCTTTAATTATTTTCTATAACTCAAATATGTTCAATGTGGATGGTTATATACTCAACAAGAAATGTAAAAAAAATTGTACAATATTGAACTTCAATTTTGAACTCAACATCTGCCAATTTGCTTTTCCCAAGAGATTCTGTTGGTATTTTTGCAAATATTATTTGCCATATTTCATCTTCAGTCCTAGTTCTCATATTCACTTATCTTGTCACTAATCTTTCCATAGTCATTGGTGCAGTCACAGAATTTACAGACCTGCTTTCCCGACACATAGGTCACAGGACACAGAGGTAAGAGGAAAAGGATAAGCAATAATGAATTTTACTTGAAGGAACAATAACCAAGAGGCTTTATCTAGAAATGGCCAATTCAAAATAGGTCCTTAAGCAATTAGAGAATGTCTTCCAGATTACAAAGACACGTATGGGTCAGGATATTTTGCAAGGCAAATACCAGCTCATGCAAAGCAGCTGATGAAGGAAGGAGGGCAAGGGGAAGCTGCCCTGGGGTAAGATCAGCTTCAATAATGTTTAGGATTCTACTTACTGCCTCTGTATTGGCTTCAGTTTTGTATATGGCTGGCAAGATGAAGAGATGCTCCCCTTTAAGCTTTAGCTACTAAAATATGGAGAAGAGCTCTGACTTTTCAGCTTCAATAATGTTTAGGATTCTACTTACTGCCTCTGTATTGGCTTCAGTTTTGTATATGGCTGGCAAGATGAAGAGATGCTCCCCTTTAAGCTTTAGCTACTAAAATATGGAGAAGAGCTCTGACATAACATAACAACCACAGTGTCAGGAGAACAAAGTAACGTAACTGGCCTACTTGGGATCTTGCGCCCACGCTATGCTCAAAAGTATAAAACCTGTGACTGGCCACTTCCACAAGAGAAAGATGCAGAAGAAGAAACTCCTTCAGGCACAACAGCGCTGCTCAAGATACACAAGATGTCTCGTGTATGAGGGCACTCGTTGGTGTCCCAGCTGCTCCACTTCCAGTCCAACTTCCTGTTAATGGCCTGGGAAAAGCAGAAGAAGATGGTCCAAGTGTTTTGGCCCCTGTCACCCACATGGGAGACCTGGAAGATGCTCCTGGCTCCTGGCTTTAACCTGACCCAGTGCTGGCTCCCAGTGCTCCCATCTTGGGAGTAAGCCAAAAGATAGAAGATATTTTCTCTCTCTCTCTTTCTCCTTCTCTCTGTCTCTCCATCTCTGTCTATAACTTTGAATTTAAAATAAATAGATAAGTAAATAAATCTTTAATTTAAAATATTAACTACAAAGTGTGATCTACATCAAGGAGCTGCCTCCAACACTACCTCAATACTTCATATACCTTATCTTTAGTCCTTACATCATTCCATAAGATAAGTATTGTTTTCACTGAATTATCTTTATTAAAATTCAAGTTCAGAGAGGTTGGGACTTGTCTGGATTTAGCATATGTAGCCAGGATTGAAGCAGACTTGAATACATATATTATTGCTAAGTCCATGCTCTTTTGGCTGTGTCCTGGACTGTGGAACAGGGAAGGCTGAGAGAATGACATATTAGTGTCTAATTACCTAGTTCTCCTGAGACAGTTTCTCATTTATGTGCCCCCATGTATCTCTGGTTTTCAAAAGGATCTACTTATGGGAAGACATACCATATATCTTGCTGAAGTACCAGCAACAGCACTAGCAGACCTCCTAGGGCCTTGTATACTATGATGCATCTATTTATATCTGTTTGATTTAAAAAAAAAAAAAAAAAACCTCTCCAGTCCCTCTAGGAATCAAAATACAGAGCCCCCTCCCCTCAATGAAACAGATCTAAAAGGAAGAAAACCACAATTTTCCTCTTGCAAAAATGTCTGCACACGTGCTTGCCTCAACTATGAGGTTCTTAGGGCCAGGAACCCTCGCTGGTATTTTCTATTTTTCTTATCTCTCTTTTTAAAAAGATTTATTCAATGGTTGATTTATAAGGTGGAGAGATACAGAGAGAGGAAGGAAAAAAAAATCCTCCTTCTTCTGGTTCACTCCCCAAATGACCACAACAGACAGGTCTGGGCCAGGCTGAAGCCAGGAGCCAGGAACTTCATCTTGTCTCCGACATAAGTGGCAGGATCTCAAGTATGTGAGCCATTTCCCACTGCCTTTTCAGCTGCATTACCAGAAAGCTGAATCTGCAGGAAAGTACCCAAGACTCAAACCATCACTCCATTACAGGACGCTGGCGTTGCAAGTTGCAACTTATCCCACTGCACCACAATGCTGTCTCCTAGTCTTCTTGCATGGCGGAAAGCCTGGTGCTCACGAGCACTTAGTGGGCACATGCGCTATTTTCTCAGTGCCTTTGCAACTGTATTTCAGTTTTGGAAGAAGAAAGTGACCACTCTTAAATGAAGAAGAATACAAGAAGCCCGAAGACGTCAACACTGACCTTTGACCATTTTATTTTTCCCAAGCCTACATTATTCAAATAATCTTTCAAATATTACCATTTATTCCAATGCCTCTCATACATTCATTGCATGCCTCTGTGATGCCAGCTGTGGATGCTGAGCCCATACAGATGAAGTGCCCATCCTCAGAGACTATACAGTCATATAAATACAGCTGCAGGGAGCAAATTTCTCTTTCCTATCTATTCTCTGTTTGATGTAAGCCTGAGATAAAAGGCAGTATGTTTGGTTACATCTAAGCTTCCTGTACTACTGCCTTCAAAGGACACTCACACACACACACACACACACACACACATACACACATGCAATGTATCAATTGAGGAGTCAAGTCATAAACTATTGTGTTAATTAGTAACAAAGCAATTTAGTGGCATGTAATAAATTTCTTGGCATAATGGATTAACTCAGATTATTGTTTGTTTATTTGTTATAGAATGGTAAGAGCATTTGACCCTGTAAATAAAACTTAGTCGTATTTCATAGTTTTAGGTTATAGATTCACATTTCAAGGACTTTATTTACCACTTAAAAATATTGAGTACTACAAATAGTTGACAGAAAGAATACCAATCACCTAGTCTGAAATGTAAAGCATGAATTATACTGCATAGTCACTATAGAACCATATATTTTCCAATATCTTTCTTAAAATGAAAATTCTACCAAATTTTACATAACATTTTACTAAATCTGTTATTCTTTATAAAGAGAGATTTAACATTTAATGAATAACTAAGGATCCTACTAATATCTTCTTCAATTAACTTTTTGTTTTTCAATATCAGTTTGCAACCTTCATACTATCATAAGTCATCTATTAGGGGTGGGCATTTAATGTAATGGTTAAGATACCTACACCCTGTATGACAGTGCTAAAGTTTGATACGGCTCTTCTCCCAATTCCAGCTTCCTGATAAGGCACATCCTGGGAGGCAGCAGGTAATGGCTCAAGTAGTTGAATCCCTGACACTTATGTAGGAGATCCACACTGAGTTTCTGGCTCCAAGATTTGACTTGGCCCAGCACCAGCTATTAGAGGCATTTGGGAAGTGAATCAGTGATTGGGAGCTCTCTGTCTCTTTCCATTTCTCTTTGTCTTCGTCATGGTCTCTCTCAAAAAAAAAAAAAAAAAAAAGTCATCTAGTCTTCTGTAAATTGCAAATCATCCTATTCATTTCACCCTGAATTCAACTATATAATCAAATCTTGCTTGGGGCCAACGAAGAGCCATGCCATTTCACAGAGGCCACTGTTAAAAACCCTTGAAGCTTTCCTTATATGCTAGCTTTGGATATTTCCTTATATGCAAAGGTAAAAATTCTGGTAGCTATCTATTTCACAGAGTATTTCTTTTGTTTTATATTGTTAAAGATTTATTTGAAAGGCAGAGTACAAAAAAGAGAGAGAGACGAAGAAGAAGAAGAAGAAGAAGAGGAGGAGGAGGGGGGGGAGGGGGAGGGGGAGGGGGGAGGAGGAGGAGGAGAGAAAGAAGAAAGAGAGAGAGAATCTTCCATTTGCTGGTTCACTCCTCAAATGGCCACAATTGCTGGGGCTGAACCAGACCAAAGCCAGGAGCCAGGAGTTTCCTCCAGGTCTCCCATGTGGGTACAGAAGCCCAAAGACTTGGGTCATCCTCTGCTGCTTTCCCTGGAGAATTAGCAGGGTCTGGATTGGAAGTGGAGAAGCTGGAAATCAAACTAGATCATATAGGATGCCAGCATTGCAGACAGAAGTGTAACCCACTGAGCCACAGAGAGTATTCACAGACTACTTCTGAGATGAACTGATAACCTCTAAATTTTCTTTTCTCTGGCTTTGTTTCTTTTCTCTGAATTAGTAGTTAAAGTAATACCGGTTAATATTTATTGAAGATTCTTTGTGGATTGAAGGAAATAATATTCATTCCAACTGAGAGTTTCATGATATGATCATCATCTCTCTGCTACAGATAAGGTAATACAGGTATAGAGAGGTTAAATAACTTCCTTAGGGGCACATAGCTCATAAACACAAGAGCCAGGATTTAAACCCAATCAGCCTCACTCTAGTTCATGCGTTCACCATGACATGATACAATACACAAAAGAGAAAGATGAACCGGACTGAGAGAAAAAACTTCAGATAGCTTGGTCTTCTTCTAAAAGAAGATATTTACTTACTTTCTTTTTTAAAGAAAATCTAACAACACTTGTCCTCTGCCACTTCATTCTATAAATTAATATTTAAACATAGGATAATAGCATTTGTACACCATAGCACAGTTCCTGCTTGTATTTTAGTGCCCATTTAACAACAGGAATATGCATTTCAATGTATTAGATCTTCAGCCCTTTACTTTCTCCCTCACTTCTCTGTAATTCTGTAAGGCAAATTTTAACACAGGAGAAGGCTGAGAGTTGTCCATTCAGAAGACAAGGAGAGTGGGGAAAAAGGAGAGGAAGAAAGGTAGAATAAACCATTGTAGTCTGGGTTTGGGGTGTGTATTGATTTAGCTCTTGAAGTTTGGAGAGAAGAAGAAGAGAAACACAGGAGGATGTATATAATAGTAAGAAAAAAGAGAGGCAGAGAATTCTAGAATATTTTAACCTGTGAGGTGAGCACTGCAGCTCACCTCAGCTCTTTACATTGGTTGGGATAGACTGCATGAGGGATGCGACTCACTTTCCCCCTCCACTCTCTCTCTCACTTGCCTCTCTCTTTTTTTATTTTAAGGATTTTCTTCTTTCCTCTTTTTGTAATATTTATTTATTTGTTAGAAAGCAAGAGTTACAGAGAGCTGAGAAAGAGAGAGATCTTCCATCTGCTGATTCACTCCCCAAGTGGCTGCAAAGGTTGGAACTGGGCCAATCTGAAGCCAGGAGATACTTCCTGGTCTTTCACTTGGGTTCAGGGGCCCAATCACTTGGGCCATATGCCACTGCTTTTTCAGGCCATAGCAAAGAGCTGGATTGGAAGTGGAGCAGCCAGGATTTGAACCGGTACCCATATGGGATGCCGGCACTTTAGGCAGTGGTTTTACCTGCTACGCCACAGCACCAGCCCATAACTTTGTCTCTTTAACAATGGCTTGCTGCTGGTATATTTTTCTGAAGGCTTCATCACGTAGGACATGGGCATCTTCATCTGTACCATTCTTTCAAACCTCCCCACTTCACTGCAGAATGTGGTCTACAGCAATATTTGTGAAATAGCTTGTCTCTCAAACAAATAAGAAAACGTGGTAAGACTTCACTCAAAATTTTTGTGAGGTCATACTTGTTTTTTTTTTAATTGGCCTTTTTACAATCTAATTTCCCAATAAGCACCATCATTGTCTACATTTACTTCTTTGTAAACTCTCCATAATCTTCGGTAAATCTCTTAAAAACACATACTACCTCAGTCTTCCTTTTTGTCAGTGAAGTAATACCTCTTCTTTTTTGTTCACCAGAACAGTGAGAAGTAGCTAATGAGAGAAAAGCACACTGGAGACATAAAGATTATTATAAATGCTAGGTATTATTATGAGCTTGCTCAAATTACACCTTAGATGGCCGTGTGTAAAATGATCTGTAGTTCTTATCCATGGCCTAAACCTCTTAGCTTTTTTGGAGTCTCTTGCTTATTTATTTCTATGTATTATGAACAATGTTGGTTTCCCAAGGGTTTTTTTCCCCTTCTGTTTTCTCTTAAGCTATTAGACTTCTGTTATCCTGTCTTTTTACTTATCTTCAACTCCACACTGTCTGATTATCTAAATAACTCCCCAATCACCCTCAGATTCTTTGTACTCTTCTTTCTCTGCTAACCTCACTTAAAAGAAAAAAGCCTGCAATAATGCTGAAATACACCTCTGTTCTCCTATATCTGAGCACTGAGCACTTGTATAGAAAGTACCATATGACCCAAACTACTGTTCTCTTTAGTGTACCATTTCAAATCTCAGCTGGCTCATCTGTAACCAGAGCTAGAGTTTTTGTCCTTGACCGTTTCCCTCCTCCATTCCTGTCAATGGTTATGCCAGATCCCAATCTCTCTTAAGTTCCATGATCAAGCCCCACAACCTATGTCACAGCAGAGGACCTTGTTTACAGCTGTTCTGAAGCTGGTGAAGCATTTAACCCAGAGCCGCCTCAGTCTCCAAGCTCCAAACACACAAATTTGTTTGTACATAAACCTGAGCTCTTTTTCTTTTCCCAAGTAACTATGAAATCAATGGCTTCCCACTTTTTAAACCAATCCCTAAACCTGTGCCATCTGCAACCTGTCTCTGTTAGCTATCATACCTTGCCTTATGTCCGACTTCTGTGTTTTCAGTTTCTGCCTCTCAACTTGCTGCATCCTCTGAACCTATAAATCAACTTGTCTTCTCTGTTTCTAACAAACTTTATTTTAATGCAACACCTCTTCTAAGAATTATCTTTCTGCTTTCTTTCTCATCCAAACATCTCAATAAGTTAATTTACATCTCTGTCTCTAGTTTGTCATGCATATAGCACCAATGATTCTTTCCCAACACAACCCAGGAGAAATCACTCACCAAAGCTTCCTTATCACCATGCTTATAAACAAATATTATTCTCAGGGCCAGCACTATGGCATAGCGGGTGAAGTCATCACCTGCAGTGTGGGCATCCCTTATGGGCGTTGGTTCGAGTCCTGGCTGCTCCACTTCCGATCCAGCTTTCTGTTATGCCCTGGGAAAGCAGTAAAAGATGGCCCAAGTGAGTGGGCCCCTGAACCCAGGTGAAAAACCAAGGAGAAGCTCCTGGCTCCTGGCTTCAGATCGGTGCAGCTCCAGCCATTGCGGCCATCTGAGGAGAGAACCAGCGGATGAAAGACTTCTCTCTCTCTCTCTCTCTCTCTCTCTGCCTCTCCTTCTCTCTGTGTATAACTCTGACTTTCAAATAAATAAAGTGATCTTTTAAAAAAATATCATTCTCTACCATTCCAGACTTTTCTGTTTGATGTGTTCTGTCTGCATTTCTAGAATCAAATAGAAACATGTAAGAATTTCTAGCTAATAGGCTTCCTTCACACTTCATTCCCCAACTTAAATTTCTACATACCTTCAAGTCAATCCCATTCTGTCTCATACCTCCTGTGATCACTTAAAACTGTTTCTGAAGGCTGGGTTGTTGGACAATGGAAAATTATCACGCTAAGGACAAGTTTGATGTACTAAATTTAACCTAAAAATTCCTCTACGAATATTTTTCTCCACAGATGACTACCACTGTCTATTTTAGATGTACATATCATTATTTGACTTTGTCCTACTAATAATCATGGATAATTTCAATGTATTAATGGGAAATTTCTTTGTCATACCATCTGGCACCATAAAAACAGTGAAAGGGACAGACACTGTGTTTCAGAGGGTTAAGCTGCTCCTTGTGACACCCGTCTCCCATCTCAGTGTGCCAGGTCCAGTCCTGGCTGTTCCACTTCCAAATGAGCTTCCTATTAATACACCTAGGAAGACAGCAGAAGACGGCCCAAGTACTCAGACCCTTGGTATCCATTTGGGACGCCAAGGTGGAGTTATTGGCTCTTGGCTTTTATGGCCAATTGGAGAGTGAACCATACAAAGGAAAACTTCTCTCTCTCTCTGTTTATGTCTCTTCCATATCTCTCTGACACTCAGCCTTTCAAATAAATCAATAAATTTTTAAAATTTTGGACACAGTAAAACATAAAAGTTACCACTCCACTTTCTTCTCATATCTTCAACGATAGCTTTGTTCTGCCCCCAGATTTTTCCTCAAGTATAATTTTTTGATTTTATTTTATTATTTCCTCTATTTTTCCTGCCTAGTTGTTTGATGGACTATTTCAGAGAAAATAAGGGTAAGCAATGGATCACAAACACTGAAATAATTTCTGAATTATCTTTCTAATGAATTTACATATTAGCTATGTGGTAAGGAGATACCCGGCTTCAGAGCTAACAGTTGTAGAAACTAGAGAGAGTTCATTTCAATGACAAAACCTTGGATATAACTCATCCTGTAAACAAAGGCCCAGTAGCCACAAAAAGGCCCTTTATGAAGTAAATAATAATTGATAGGATCAGGATCTGAATTTAAAGATTAATACTGTACTTCCCTTGAGTGATATCAAATTAAGAGATGCAAAATCATAAAAAAAATCTATTTCTTGAATTTAATAGCTGTAGTGAGGTCATTTAAACTTTCAATTTCAATTTTAGATTTTAAGACTTCCTCCAGCAGCAAAGACACCAGCAGACTCATAATATTTTAGACAATTAAAATACTGGATTGTATAAATACAGACATTGCCTCTTGTATTATCACATATCTCCCAAGGTGAGCTCTTGGATTTCATTTTATTTGTTGCTTTAGAGTGGAAAATCACCTGTAAATTCATTAATCCTTGTCAAATACAGAAGTCTAAAAATAAATGGAGGTGAATTAAATTTTAGCAAACATTTCAATCATAAAATTCAACTAGAATTATTTGTCAGGATGCAATCTATTTCTAAACATTTTATAATACTCTAACTTGGCAAAGTCTAAGAAATAAGTTTGAGATAAGGAGAATTCTTAGACTCAAGGATCATTTTTGTCAATCTGTTGGCAACATTAAAACATTTTGGATCCTTATTCCAGGATTGAAGATCTTTAAGGTATCAGGGCATTTTAGTACCTTGAACTTTCAGTGGCATTTAGAGTCTCTCTCAGAAGGAAGTGGAGTGGTGACTTTTATGTTTTACTGTTTCCAAAGGCTTTCAGGATGTCATACGATAAGAGCTCAACAAATCCTTGAGCTTTCAAGCACTTTGTGTCTGCCTTATAACATTTAAGTATATGAGGCTTTAGTCATTAAATATCTCCCAATATTTATCAGCCATTAATTTGCTTTCTGTATTTGTCCTTCTGAAAACACTGCAATATCTTTAGGATGCCTATTTTCATCTTCTGTTCTGTGCTGACTTTCTTCTGCTGTCGGAGTTATTAGTGAGGGTTTAGCTTTTATTATGAAATAATGAAGCAGACACAGGTACTAGAAGGGTTCATAAAGGCTCAATCAAGACAAATTAGCAGGTAGGTTTTCCTGGTGAATTTCTGAAAGAATATTAAAAAAAATGGCATTATTCTCTTGAGATGAATTTAACATTTTACTCTAAAAATTTGCCCTCAGGATTGGTTATGTTTCAGATTTTGTACTTTTGCATTTTTGCCAGTTAACTTAAACAACAACCACACATTAGATTAATCTTAATATAACTAGGCTAAAACAATATTTAAATGATTTTAAAAGACGATGGTTTTAAAAAAATGAAAGACAGGAGCCACCCTTTCATGATAATTAGTTTAACTTGAAACAAATGACAATGAACTGATTTTAGTTGTTTTTAACATGACAAATGTTAGATAGTCTCTTCCCTGAGTTATTTTGTAGATTGAAACCTCTCTGAAAAAGATTGTGATGCCTTTAAATCGGACATAAAAAAACACAAAGCTCCCGGCCTGTACTCCTGACCTTACAAGGTTTTGGGAAGTGTGCGGAGGTAAGCTTTTTCCTGAGGTGTCATCGCTTCTGCGGACAGAAAGGGGAGCAGTTGCCAAGTGACGTTTTCATTCCCATGGTCGGGCCTGATGTCTGGAAAAAGAGTCATGCTCCATTTGGTAATTCCAGTGTTTCTTCCTCTTCCTGTAAATACAGGGTATAAGAGTAGGGAACACTCATTCACAAAAAAGGAATAGAAATATGTATCCCATGGGAAGGAGCCATTTATAGAACTGTCTAAAAATACATATTTGGGCAAGTCAGATGATATTTTGCAATATTACTGCAATGACCATTAAGTCTGCTACTGGCTTTGAAGCAGGAGGCGTTCTGAAGTACTAAGAAAATGGGATTGCCAAAGAGATAAATTGTTATATGGCCAGTCTCTTCGTATCTGGTTCAGATTGGCTCCCCCAAGCAGAACTTATGGATATCTATGAAATTAAACAAGTAATAGTCTACTTAGGATTCCTCACTGATGACATTATGCTCATAACATAGGATTACAAGTTATAGTCATCTTAATTTAGTATATAATTTTATGACTTATTTAATAGGTCATAAAAGTAACTGGGAAGGGAAAACTGAGATATTGCATGAGGAATCCAGGTCGCAGAACTTATCAGGCACAGTTAACTGGAAAACTGACCATTCCTGGGCTCTGATTGCTGACCTGGGGCATGGAGAGGTTTTCATCACAGTTAAGTGGGTCCCTGAGAAAATGAGCACAGGATGTAGAACAAGAGTCACAGACAATAGACAGAGTCTTAGTTTCCACAGCCCTACTCTCAACACACACACACACACATGCACACACTGAATCGTCTTGAACAAATCCTAAAATCTTTAAACCTGAAGTTTAAAATCAATAATGAGAACAAAATAATCCCTAAGGCTTTGTTATTATTACTGTTTTGGCCCTAGGTTCTGATTTGCTGTTATATTATCTTTGGCTCTCTCAATTGTAAAGGAAGACAGAATTTTGCTTGTGTTCAAGAGAAAGATTTTCAGGTTCAATCAAGTCAATATTTGAACCAAAAGTTTAGCAGAATTTTATTATCTAAATTTAACCACTAGACCTTCTGGCTTGTGTATATTTTTAGCTATGTGTCATACAGGAAGCCTCATGCCCCATCCTCCAGAGAGAACCTACAGCAAGGCTGAGGGTCAAAACGCAAGTGGCTGAGGTCGGTGTCTTCCTGATATGATAGTGTCTGCATCAGAGAGTGACTTCTCTCCAGCGACAAGGGTCAGGTAGCAACTTGTCTCTTTACTCCCCTTTTGCTGTATGGTCCCCAAGACCACCCTGCAATACATCCAACCATGTGTGCTTTTCTTTACTGAAGTATTGCGGAAATGTCAGATGATAACAAAGGAAGAGAAAAGCTAAAGCTTTATGGTAAATAGTATACTTTCAGTTTCCAAAGAAAGCACAACAAAAATTTAAATTTTCACAAGGGAGTCCACTCATAGACACCACCCCAAACACTTCTTAAACTTATCCTTATGCACACCTCTCTCCCATAATGACATTAATGCTAATCTTCTAGTGCTTTCTTTAGCAAAATCTCTCTTGGCTAATCACACACACACACACACACACACACACACTTTTTCCAGGAAATTTTCTCCCTCCCGATTTCCTGGTTATATTCTTCTTCCACAGTGCATTTTCCCAAAAATGAGTCATGAATTCTGAATTCTTGAAGAGAAGGAATTCTAACCATGTTCTGAAGAAATCTTAATTAACTTCTATAATGAACTTCCTTTCAGAAGAAGAAAAAAACATGACCCCATTCCAATTTAAAGCCCTTACCTTGGTCCTAGGCCAGAAAATGGAGAGAAGATCGTGTTCAGAGGAGAGATGTTATCCTGCCTCTTCCCACTGTCCTGGTCGTTTGGAGGTGTCTGGATTATGTGCATGAAGGGGAAGATGGTATTCAAAAGTAGGCCAAGGAAAGAAGAGCTCAGTAAAATCTAGCATTAGCAATAAAATACAGAAGCCAAGTAAACCATCATACAAGCCAAACCAAGCCCTGATTGCAAAGTTAACCACAGCGAGTAACTTTGCTGGAATGTACAAGTGTTTCCAGTGGTCTAGTGGTGAGGGAGAAAGAACTGTGCCTAAATTTTACCAGATCTGATTTCTAGTTTTGGAATAGGTTTCCTGGGGGGATAGAATCTAATTATCCTGGGAGTCTTGTTCTTAATTTGTGTGTTGGTTATGTGTGTATGCTCAAGATGAAAATCTCACTTATTTGCACTCAAGTGCATTTCTTAGTATATTTGATTAGTGTTTATAGCCCTTGTCTATACTCCTGAGGAACAGGGATCTTTCTGCTACTATTTGTTGGATTATTTGCTTACTGGAGGATTAAGCTTCTGATTATAAAGTAAACTGAAAGTATGCCATTGAAAAAATCAAGAGGGAAAAAAAATGGGGCCAGTGTTGTAGCATAGCAGGTAAAGCCACCACCTGTGATGCTGGCATCCCATATGGGCACAGGTTCATGTCCTGGCTGTTCCACTTCTAATCCAGCTCCCTACTAACATGCCTAGGAAAGCAGCAGAGGAAAACCCAAGTGCTTGGGCCCCAGTATCAAAGTGGAAGGCCCAGAAGAAGCTCCTGGCTCCTGACTTCTATCTGGCCCAGCCCTGGCTGTTGTGGCCATTTGGGGAGTGAACCAATGAATGAAAGATCTCTCTCTTTCTCCCTCTCTCTTTCTTTCTCTGTCTCTCCCTCCCTCCCTCTCTCTCTGTGACTCTGCCTTTCAAATACATGAAATATATCTGTAGAAAATTGTACATTTGGAAAACATGAAATCTGTTCCCTTTATGTAAATAAATTAATTTAAAAATCTGATTATAAAGTAAAAGAGAAAAATTTAAATGATTAAAAAAAACAATCTCATGGTCTTATTTCCCTGGAATATCTCCTACCATTTCACTCCAATTCCAACATTTAGTAGCTCTGGGAGGCAGCAAGTGATGGATTATGTGATTGGCTCCTTGTCACCCAGATGGGAGGCCTGTATTGAATTCTTTGCTTCTACCTTGCCATTGTAGACATTTATGGGGTGAGCTAGTAGAGTTCTCTCTGTCTGTCTTCTGTGTTTCTGTCTCTCAAATAAATGAAATAAATAAAATATTTTTACGAATAGATTTCTAATTTGTATCTAATAAAGGTAGACTCAAAATTTATTACCTCTGAAAATAAAACACTTTTCTTAAAATGTGTAGATATTGGGTATTATATTTGGAGACATTTTAGATCTGCAAAGCAGGCACGTAGTGCATTAACTGCCTCCTATCTAGCTGCACATAGAGATCAGGAGGGCTACATTTGTTCAACAACCTTGAACATGTTGATATTAGTCATTAGAGGGGGAAAAGACATTGATCAATGTAAGTCAGACTCCCCCCATCACACTAATAATATAAACCACTACTTTTTCCAAGGACAGGAATGAATGAGAGGTCAGGAAAGGTGGATGGTCTATTTGTAAAACGTTGGGAAGAGTGAAAGGATGTTTTCCCTTTAAATGACAATGAGCTTGATAACTTTTATTAGATTAACCTGAATTCACACCATGAACTGTTAATTGTATAAGTTATGACCCTATTTAATTATGGATCCTATCTAATGATTTTCAGAGTGTTGTTATTTGTTTCTTTCCTAAATTTGTGGAAGATTCCTACCTTGACTTATTTAACAAACCTAAAGTTCATATTTTGTGACAGATTCTTTGAATACAAAAGTACCCTTGAACAAAGCAAGATATTTGAGAAGATCCACAGGTGAGTTAACTATTTTAATAAACTATGTGAAGACTGGCAAGAGAGGAAAGTGGAGAGAAGCTTCACAGAGATGGTGGTACTTACATGGAGAGGCTGCTGGGGATGCTGCATCGTGTGCTGGAGGGCCCAGGTGTGAGTCCAGGCTCTGCTCCTGACCCCAGCTTCCTGCCGACGTCACCCTAGAAGGTAGCAGGTGATCCCTCATAAATTTCTATGCTTGGCCAGCGCCGCGGCTCACTAGGCTAATCCTCCGCCTTGCGGCGCTGGCACACGGGGTTCTAGTCCCAGTTGGGGCGTCGGATTCTGTCCCAGTTGCCCCTCTTCCAGGCCAGGTCTCTGCTGTGGCCAGGGAGTGCAGTGGAGGATGGCCCAAGTGCTTGGGCCCTGCACCCCATGGGAGACCAGGAGAAGCACCTGGCTCCTGCCATCTGATCAGCACCGGCTGCAGCGGCCACTGGGGGGTGAACCAACGGAAAAAGGAAGACCTTTCTCTCTGTCTCTCTCTCTCTCACTGTCCACTCTGCCTGTCAAAAAAAAAAAAAAAAAACTTCTATGCCTGTTACCCACGTGGCAGACCAAAACTGAGTTCTTGGCTTCGGCCATTGTAAACATTTGGGAGTGAATCAATGGATGGTAACTCATTCTGTCTCTCTCAAATACATTTAAGAGAAAAAAAGGAAAGAAGAAAGAAAAAAAAGAAAGAAAAAATAGAAAGAAACAAAGCAAGCAGAGAGAGAGAGAGGAAGGAGGGAGGGAGGGAGGAAGGAGGGAGGGAGGGAGGGAGGAAAGGAAGGAACAAAGAGTACTGGAAGATGCATAGCAGCTGAACTGGCAGCGGAAGCAATACACCCAAAAGTGTAGAAACGCTCCTCCACTGCAGGACGTTTCCAGTAAGGCATGTGGTTTGCATGGAATGTGAGGCACATGGGAAAGGTGAATTCCTTCATCTGCCTCACTTACCACTTAGCCACTTCCTTCCCAGGACAGCACTTCACACTTGTGTACAAGTTACTCTTCAAACCCTCCTTCACCTTCAAGACAAAGATGAAAACAAAAACAGAGCTACCCTATTCCTTAATGTCTTCCCTTACTTCCACCAGAAAGAAAATGTATTCTAAGGCTATGGTTTATTTCTTGATAGCCTTTTCCTTGAAGTCTACTTTCCAGAGAAAGATCCTTTCTTCACACATCTGCACTCTGAGACTGACTTTTGGACACATTTGAATCTGGAAAGCAGGCGTGTAGGCCATTATCTTCCTCACATCCAGTTGCACCCAGAGCTCAGGAGAAAAGGCCACATACTCTCAACAACATTTCTACCTTTTTGTATTTACAGAAAGTTTTTCCATATGCATATTTTAAATTTTTACTGTTGTACTAATTCCTTGGGGATTTTGGAAAAGTTCACTTCTAGACACACTTACGCAATTACACTGCAAACTCCATGAAATCAAAACAGCAATGGTCTCATTCGGGAAAGCCTATGTCATGAAAATACTCTACCAGAGATTTCACTACATATATGGAAAATAGGACAAAATTTGATCAAGGAAAATTAGGCAAGTGTCAGCTGATTTAGAGCCTTGAACCCTTCATAAAGAAGACCTTTGGAGGAAGCAATCCCGTCACATCTGTGCCTTGAAGATATGAAGACTAATTATTAAACCATGTGATACTCAAGGAAATAAATTATGAGAATCCTAAAACTGGATTAATAGAATAAAAGGATGGATTTAGCAGTAATCTAGAGTTCAGATTGATAGGAGGACGTTCAGAAGATGGAGTAAGTGAGGATAGTAAAGGGATGAGATTACTAAGGTTAGAAACTCATTAGTTAAAAGGGTTGTTGGGGCAGGGAGTGGGGAAAAATCCTGAATTTAATGTTGGACATTTTTAGCATGAGGCCTCTAAGGGACAATGAGATCACAGGCCTTTGGAATATTTTCAAAGCTGATAAAAATGTTCCTTTAGGAGAGGATCTGATTTTTTTCAAAACTGACAAAATTGTCTTAGAAGTAAAACTGTGATATAAAATGTATTTGGTGTGCAAATGCTCTTTCCTTGCTGTTTTTCTTTTCAAGAAGTGTGATTGTAAGTCAGTTATTTGTGTGGTTTTCTATAATTTCACTATAACATGCTACTTTTAGCCCATGCTGAGGCAACTTGGTGTAAACTAAAGAGCAGTGAAAGATGGAAATGCTTAGGCAATCAAAAATAAGTTTTAGGAAGACTGGGATCAGAAAATAAAAGGAAAATATTATTAGCAGAAATATAAACTGTTTCATTAAAACCTCTACTTTCTTCTAATTTGCTTGATCTATTTTTGTTTTGTCAAATTTTAGGTAATGTTTCCAATGAAACATTGTTTTTTGATGCTTCAATGTGTATTCACAGTGAGATATAATTTCCTTAGTTAAGATTCATCTCCTCTTTGCAGACTCTAAAGTAAGAAAACTTTGCATAATAGAAGAGCTATGTTTTTTTAATTATATAAATACAAAAAATAGCTAATCTCTTAAAGTTTATGAATAGCCTATTCTCATGAGATATTATTCTGAAGAATTATCTGAAAATTACTCAGAATATTAAATTGCAATTATCTGGATAGCTAAAGATGGAGTCTTTAGCAGCTGCATATGCTCTAGCTCTCTTGGTTCATGTATTCAAGGTCGTCAGTTGCTCTAGGGAAGCTACTCACACCCAGTAAATAAAATTATGCTTCAGTTTTGTTTCTTTTTTTTTTTCTTCAGATTGGGCAATGGTTAACATTCAAAGAATCCTCTGTTTTGACATCACAAGAGAGGAATGAAGTGAAGCTTATCTAAATGCCCAATAATAAAAAATGGGAAATAAATAGAGGATGGATATACAAAAGAGGATTCTGACAAAGTTTTAAATTCCTAAATAATAACTTCTAAGACTAGAAAAAAATTTTCCCCAAAGAAGAGAACAAATAACTACCTTCTATTTTTTTTACCCATTTTAAAGATAATTGGGCATTTAGATAAATTTCAATTCATCCCTCTATTGATAAAATTTCCTGTATTATTCCATAAAACAATGTTGTAGTCTCTTAAACAATTTCTATAAACACAGTAGGAGCTGAAAATGGCAAATAATTTAGTCTTTATTCACAGGTTCAATGTAAAATAATTATTTGGATGTCAAATGACAAACATTAGTGGAAGCAGTAAATTTTCTATTAAATATCATTTCATAAAGGCACATGGATAGATATGCGCTTTTAACTAAGCTTTAACAGAAATAATCATACATAATAACATAGTAAAAATAGCAAATAGAAGAAAGAGATTTAAATAAAAATTAAATCTCCCTCCCATCCAGCCTTTCGGACCTGTCCATCTTCTCCCTCTTCCTTAGTGCATTCAAAAGGAAATACTGCTATCAGTTATTACATTTCATATGTTCTACTCAGAAAACGATCTAAATATATGAGACTATATGGCCATCCATCTATCTATCCATTCACCTATCTCCTTTTTAACACAAATATGAACACATCCTAATCCTATTTGGTAGTTTGTTTTCACTTATTGTACCTTGAACATTGTTCCACACGAATGAGTAAAGAACTACCATTGTTTTTCTTTTCCATGAAACAAACATGCTGTTCCATTGTATGAATGAAGCATAGTTTTAGAAACAGCTTTTACCTAAATACTATACAAGGTTTATTAGGAACAATACTGGCCTTTGAAGCCCCAAGAATAGAAAATTCTACCTGCCTCAAGGTCAGTCTCAATCCCATTCCACTTCTCCAGAGAATTTCATATGTAAAGGAAAATTTCCCAAAACATGGAGGGGTCTCAGATGCTGTGCCCTACCTCAGGGAGTCTTACTCTTGAGACTACAACTCTTCAAACACCTAGATCTTTGACATGTGAAAGGGAAGAAGTCAGTTTATAGAAGGATATTTCCTCCCTCTTCACCCTTAATCTGTCCTTTCAAAATATTTTGTGCTGTACGTATGTTAACTTGATAATTTGTCTTCATAAAAGTAGCAATAAAATATAGAGCTTTAAAAGGCTCACAAGGTCAGAGAAAATTCCTGATCAGAGTAAGTTCCTGTGTGACCACTCACACAAGTCACAGATACCATCTGTAGGCCTGTTGTTAATGGTCTGGAATGCTTGAGTCAGGAAGTGAATTCCTCAGATAAATATTCTGTGGGGATTTCATATGTCCTTCTCAGCTTCTTATTTGAAGATCATCAGCAGAAGTTGCTTACATAGAAGAATTTAGGGAAGGAATTGCTCTCAAAGTTTACTCTGTTCATAGGCTTGTATGTCATGAATCCACAAAGTCAACACCCACTATCAGAGCTCACAGACTAGGGTAAATAGCACAGTGTAGAGTTCTTCTCTTCTCCAACTGCTTCTGAAGCGTCTCACAAGCTGCCATCTGAAGATCTGGGCTCTACCGTGGAAGCCGAGAGGAAGATGTAGCCCACTCCCCTCAATTAGTGATCTTGGGAGTCTTTGCAGGACTTTGTGTTTCTCAGAAAATGCTTTCCACTTAATTCCACTTAATCTCTACTCAGAAGGTTAATCATTTAACAGCATTTTAACTGAAAATCTCGCCAAAACTTCCTAGTGTGTACTCTATTTTGGAGGATTACAGATGGAGAAAAAGAATTTATTGTATCTGCCAGCATGCTTTATTTTGGAGAAAAGGATATCCCTAATCCGAACATGAATTCAGTATCCTTCATGCCTGAAATGTGTTCTCTTCTCATTAACACAACCTGCCTGTTATGTGCTACTGCATGTTAATTCTATAAAACGTCAATGCTACTTGGTCTTACAGTGAAGACCACTCAGTTTAAGCCAAAGACAATGTCTTTCCAAAGTCTGGATTCTGCCTGTAGTACTTCCTGTCCACAGTTTTACTGCAGGTAGAAATTTCCCATGATGTCCAGCAACTCATCCAGAATTGTCTGTTGCCCTACTGCACCAACTGGAATGAGCGTCTATGGGAGCCTGCTATGTCCAGTAGGCACTATGCATTGGGCCACCTATGCATGAGACACTTTTCTACAGCAATGTGTGTAGCTATCTGAATCTTACCAGCTTCTTCCCGTGTGAAAACATTAGTCTTTTCCTGAAGCTTGATGAACACTTTCTTTTTCTTTCTTTCTTTTCTTTTTTTTTTTTTTTTTTTTTTTTTTTTTTGATAGGCAGAGTGGATAGTGAGAGAGACAGAGAGAAAGGTCTTCCTTTTGCCGTTGGTTCACCCTCCAATGGCCGCCGCGGCTGGCACACCACGCTGATCCGAAGCCAGGAGCCAGGTGCTTCTCCTGGTCTCCCATGGGGTGCAGGGCCCAAGCACTTGGGCCATCCTCCACTGCACTCCCTGGCCACAGCAGAGAGCTGGCCTGGAAGAGGGGCAACTGGGACAGAATCCGGCGCCCTGACTGGGACTAGAACCCGGTGTGCCGGGGCCGCAAGGCGGAGGATTAGCCTAGTGAGCCGTGGCACCGGCCTGATGAACACTTTCTT